CCCCCCCAGAACTACCGCGAGGTGCCGCGATAGCACGACCAACGCTCCTACGTTTAAGCTTCTGGTGTATGATCCAAGTTGATCTAAGTTTAACGTCAGGGTATTGAAGTTCAGAGGAGAAAGCATATTATGTATATCGGCAGAAGCTTTCATTCTGAATTTTTGAGACCCTTCATGCAGATGGGCGGTTCTCTTGTTTTGTGGGCTTGGTTTTGGCAGTAGGTTTAACACGGTATTTACTACACAATACGAGGGTCGGTAGTTCATGGGGGCGTTATTATTATTATTATATTATATTATATATATCTATATATGTACGACGCACGTGTATGTATGTATGCATGCATGCATGCATGCATGCATGTATGTATGTATGTATGTGTACACACACATAGATTTTCTGTTTTATGTAATTGCGTGTATGCTTGCTTACACACATTGGGCGTACATGGCGTACAAGCAGGCACCTTGGGGTGGAAGGATGTCAGCAAAAGCAGCACCCATGCGGAAATTCGCACCTCGGGATCCGCAACACTACTGCATTACAGCAAGCAGCAAGGTGGCTTTGGGGTTTCGGTGGCTCTCCTTTGCACGACATCGTTGGGCCCCTGGTCTGGCCAAGGTACCCTGGAATCCATTGTGGTTCGCTTAACGACGAAGCAGGCTCCTGGGAGGTTCTTCCGGAGCCCATATGGCTGCAGTGCATCGAATATTAGAGGAAATCCATGATGCAACAGACAGCAAGAGGGTCCTTTGCTTCTTCGCCGCATCGTGACCACAAACGTGAGATAACTGGTTTTGATGGCTTTTGCTCATTGGAAGTGCCCCGACCCCGCCATCGAGGCCTCGTATTGAGAGCACGTCGAGATGCATTGGTTACTATTGTAGATAACACGATCACCACCATCGGCACCACCAGCCTCATCTTAATTTTCCGTGGCATCTTAGTTGCTGCTGTTGTGCCTAGTAGCAGGAATCGCTGGCAATACCTCATTCATGTTTCTGTTTCCATTACAACTACTCCCATGTTGGAACTTTACTGTAGGTAACGTTGCTATGGCTATGGCTATCAAAGATCATTACCAGATTCCACTGGTGAACCCCACTTTAGACTGTCTTTTTACCAGCCCGCCCTACTTCCGGCTCCCAGGCGGGGCGTGCAAATCGGGAGACGACCTTGAACTGCACGGTGCAGACGGAGAGAACTTCGGGCACCAACCGGTTGAACTCGTCGAAGCAGCCCCAACTTGGAGGTACAAGTTGGGCTTTAGGGTTTCTGGAAACAGGCTTTCAAAAGGGGTTTACTACAAGAAAGCGGGTTTCTATGAGGATTACCATAAGGGTTGCTTTACAGCCTATATTCGGTAGGCTAAACTTGGATTTGTTCCTTGAGGTGCCTACTCGAGTAGTTTGGGAGGAGCTTGTCACTGGGACAATCTAGACCGGGTAGGGTGTGCAGGCTCCGGCATAAACAGCAGCTTTGAATCGATGCCAAATTGAGGTTAGAAATATAAGTTGTAACAAGTAACAGTCAACCCTAAACCCCCCAAAGTACTTTTGATGATATAAATCCTGCATTTTCTTAAGGACCCTGAACTATGGGAGCTCTGGTATATTCCTTACTATGGGTAATGCAGGATTTATTTCATCAACCCTCTCTGCAAGCCCCTAAACCCCCAAACCCTAAACCCTCAACCCCAAAACTTTAACCCTAAACCCTTGGGTAAAAAGCCGGGTTGTTGCCAACAGCCGAGGCAAGCACGAGCCGCTCGCTGCAAGACCTTTGAAGATGTTGCCCAAGGTCAAATAGTCCTCGGTTCGAGGTGATTTTGGGGTTTAGGGTGTTAAGGGTTTAGGGTTCAGGATTGTTAGGTCTAGGCCATGTGGGCGTTAAAGGTTTGGAGTTTGGGTGGGTTTAGGGTTGGGATTTCCGATCGACATACCGGGGTCCCATCTGATTCCCATGAGCTTTCCTGCATTGTGAACCCCCGATGCAAACTGAGCCCTGAGCCATTTCCGGTGCCGCATTGATGACCTCAAGCCGGCGTATGCCAGCAGACCAAAGTCAGCCGGAGTGAATATCAAGCGGCTTTCGACGGCGAACTTGCAATCTGAGATCCCCACATAGCAGGCACGTGCCAAAGCGTTTGCCAGATCCTCCGCATATCCCGGTCCCTTGTTTTGTCGGCCCACATCGCCTTTACAACTACAGCTGTTCATTGCGCTCAAGATACACGGCAACACGGCACAGCGCTGCACTGAACCCTGCATCTGCTGAGTATCCTTGGTGCTCTCGGTCTTGCCTGTACCTGCTGGCCCTGCAGGTGCACAGCCCATGTTGAGGTGCAAAGCCTGGCGCAAAATCCGGGAATTTACTCCCTACTCACTTGCAATGTTTTCACATGGTCTCCTGTGTGGCGGTGACATAGATGCGGTCTGTCAGGGGTGTCACCACCAGGCGTGGCCCGTTTCCCAGGTACTCGTAAGCATACCTGCAGACGCTTTGCAAAGCTTACCCGACCAGGCTGTCGAGCCACAAGTGAAGAGCCGATTCACGACAGAGTGAGACTGAAGGCAAGGGGAAACAGTGCGCACCAGATGCGAGCATCGCAGATCTGCATCTGTGCCGTCCCCTCGCCAGGCGGGTCCTGTGTCTGAATTAGCTGCACAAGAATCTGTCTGGTGCTTTAGGAGCACAGTACTGTTAGACACAGGCAGCTTCCAAGCATCAAGAGTCCGGAACCCAGTAGCACTTCAGCATGCTCTGCCACCTAAGAGCGCAGCTTTCATTCACACTATGCAAGACCAGCAAAACCAACGCTCAACACATGCATCATCATGATTCATTCATCTGCATCGTCAGTACAGTATCATCGTCATCATCAATCAGAATCATAACTGTCATCGTCACCAGCATCATCATCATCGTCGACGTCATCACCATTATCCTCCGTCTGTGGATGCAGTTCTGTTCATGCAACGAAGAAGGACCGAATGAGATTCCGGGTGAATGCAGCAACGTCGTGTTGGCTGCTCGGCGCCAAGACTCTGCACTCTGCACCCTGGTCGAGTACACGGTCGCTGTCTTTGAGGCGAATGGGCGCAAAGTATCGCAAAGTCGTCAAGCGATTCATTGCAGGTCTTTAGAACGCTTCAGGTGATTTCGCTTGATCTGATTCGCACTTCTGAAAAAGTGTGTGATTCATGGCGTGTCTTAATAAAGTCCTTGCAAAAGGATGCCTCTGCCACGCTTATTACGAGCTGGCACTCTTAGGCACATTGATAGCTTCCACAAGTCCTACGCCGTCGGGATGAATCGGCATCCGCCAGTATCCGTGACTTTACAAACTCTGCAGCGCAAGGAGTGTAAGCCGGCTGCTGGAAAGCGTCGGCCGAAGTGACTTTATCCTTGACCAACCGCTCCTTGTTGGGATGTGCTTCGGCATGATTGCTGACTGCAAACGTTTAACATCGCCTAGCCCTAAAGAGGTGAAAAGGAGAAGGGCTCCTGAACGTCCCGATTGTGGGCATCTAACGTGATGGCACACATGACCTCGCGCGAGCTACGAGCAAGCTGCTTTCACTTGCGAAGGCTTCTCCGGGACTCAGCTTGCGAATGCTCTCAAAGGCTGCCTTCTGCCTGTCTGGCTTCGTGAGATCCGTCTGTGTCAAGCGGATCAGGTCGAGCAGAAGTTCTGCACGGATTGTGAACTCCACGGGTCACAAGACACAAGACTCCAAGTCTATGATGCGCAAGGTGCGGTGAGCCTAATTCTACAATACCTCAATACCTTGCAGACATCTGGTTCGTGCTTGAAGCGGCCTTGCTGCCTCTTCCAAGCCTCCGTGACCTGAGCATCGGAGGCTCTGATCGGATTCTCTTGCCGCGCAGCTTGGCCTTCGTCTCAACTTCCTCGGCAACCTCATCGTCATCGTCGGGGTCCGGTGGAACCTCATCATTCAGAGCTGCGGCCGAAGACCGTAAAGTCGTAGAGCACAGTGCCCTATGCAGCCAAAGATGCCTGAAATGCGCCTTCGACCAGCTGAACCCATGTGATAAGCTGTACCAGCAGCGCACCTTGTGCCGCCTGACCCGGGCGAGTACGCGACTCCATGTTCTCAAACGATGGAAGCTTCATTCACGCAGATGTGCCTTCACTTCCAGCAACCACTTACCACGGGCAACGCCGTCTGCCTGGAGTCGTCCACAGGTGTAGGCACTGGAAGCAAGTTTTCAAGCAAAGTACATATTAATTATGAGGGTGAGTGTAGTTTTGCTTACGTCTTCTCTTTCTTTCTTTCTTTCGCCTCTCTGTCTCTCTCTCTGTCTCTGGGTCGGCGCCGTCTGTCTTAATCATTTCCAGCTCCGCCTGCCTCGCACTCATACTCTGCATAGCTGCGCAGGTCTCTGATGGCAAAGTGCTTGAGAGCTCCCCGGAAGGCCTTGTCACTTCAGGAGTGGACAGAACACTGCACCTTGACAGGTTGTATGCGTCCACCTTGCCCAGATCTTTTGAGGGTACTTGGTCCGGCACCTCGATGCAGCGCTCCAAGTATACTTCGACCTGTCCAGCTAACTGCCACAACTCTGCGACGCAGGTGCGCTCCGCAGTGGCATAACACCTTCCCGTTGAGGGGCAGCGGTTCTGGAAAGGGGACGAACTCCTCGTGGCACTGCAGGAAAACGGCAGCTCCCTTTACATCCAAGGCTTTTCGGTCCTTGCCGATGCAGGCATGCATGCCGGTCGCGACCGGTCGGGTGCCGGGACCGTCCGGGTACTCCAAGTCATACCTGTAATCAGAGAGGTCCCGTCTCCCAGAAAAGGCTGGGCAGCTCATGGGCACTTCTCGATGGCGTTGAAGAACTTTGGGAACTGAGGCACGACCCGTGCAGGGTTGTTCCTGGCAGCACGGAGCTATGGCTATCACATCCACAGCACCGAAATCCCGGAGCTCTCACAGCCAGGTTTTCATTCGAAGCTGGAGACTCTCGAGTGCTAGGCCCTGCACTTGACAAGCAACTAGTCAAGCGCGGCTTGCTGGACCCGTTGCTCAGAACATCCAGCAGGTTCGCCGAAGACATGAAGTAGAATCGCGGGAATGCTTGACCTCAGCATGCAGCAAAGGCGCCTGCACTTGATCTAACACCGCGTGGTGAATGTAGAAAGCTACTTGCGAGCTCAAACTCCCGAGGGTCCCAGCGCTTGCCATCCATGAATTCGTTGAGCGCCTGCTTGAGCGTTGAGTGCAACAGCTTGCCGGACAGGTGCGAAATTCCCAAAATGCGGCTCTCTCCCGCCGCTTTTTTGTTCTGGGGGGCCTTCTCGCACATGGAGAGCTGAGTTTGGGTCTTCTCCAAGACCTGCAGAGAGTAGCGGAAGCTGCAACACTGACATGGAGACGGGTTCCTCCCAGCCCCCGGCGCTGCCTGGTAGATGCTTGGGTCGGCACAAAAGACTTTAGCAAACCGGGCCTGACAAGGCTCACCGCAAGCGTTCAGGTGGGCCAAAGAATTCATGGCACCGTTTCAGTCTGGGCCAGGCCTCAAAACCTCGACGGAGCAGCTGCTTCACATCGTCGTCTATTTCCAGGAAACGCTCTGACTCGTCCGGCAACTCCTGATGTTTGACGAAAAGCCGGGGCATTCCCCAACCCTTCAAGTAACTGTGGCAGGCGATCCTTCTTCACTTCTTCGGAATGGATGAACAAGTTCTCCAAGAAATCCCACGTTCGCAGTACCTCTTCTTCAATCTTAACAGACTCATGTACAGCTCTTGCCTGGCACGTGTTCAAGCTTGCGAAGGACTGCGTGACCTGCCCGCCCTCATTTCTCATCGAGCCTCACCCAAGAGGTTGGTCGTCTCGCTGATGTTGGCCAGCGTCTTCTGCCAACCCACCACCTGCAGTCCCGGATCTCTAGGCTTCTGGAATAAGGTTTAGGGCTCATTTCAAGACAACGAAGGCCACCTGTGTCTCGAAAGTGGATAAGAACCGCGAAGCGAACATGTTCTGCACCTGAACCTGCAACGACACGGAAACCGCATGGGGCAGGGCCTGGGGTCAGCCTCCCCCCCCTTCCGGCGAGCAATTTTTTTGCTCATTTTGGAGGCATCGCAGGCACTTCGAAGCCTTTGGAGATCGAGAAGAGCGCCAGGGCCACAGCACGAGCGGGCGAAGCGATTGTTGTAGCGGTAGGCAGCAATCTTCTTCCCCGTCTACCTCTAACAGCTGTCACCGTCGATGAGGGCTCCGTAGCTGCGAGAGTCTCAGTGAAACTGTCTCGTTACCCTCGGAAAGCTTCTCGTTCCGTCGTCGATGAAGTCGATTTCCACAGGGCCAAGCCTGCCCTTCGGACAGGTTCGATATGTTCGGCCGGCTGAAAGGTCGGTGAGCAGACTGCCGGCATCACGACTTCTTTCAGAAGCGACCCCCGGCGGCGCAGCCTTGCAGCGGCAATGCGATCACGACCGCTGTGTTTGCGCACCAAGGTGTTGTTGCGCAACATGCGCAGCCTTCGATGTCTGCCACCAACAAACAGCGAAGTCGCTCGCGATTCGGAAATTCAAGAGGAGGTGTTAGCAGGCTTGCAACATGTCGTTCAGCCCGTGAAGATGTGCATGATCATCAGCGGCTCGACACACCTCGCTCCTGGACAACCACCGTTGGCGTTATATCATAAGTTAATCATGTGTGTGTGTCGTTCGGAACAATTTAGTGAGGAAATGTCAGGAACTAATAATCAATCCTTTCTAGCATTGTAAAAACACTGAGCAAGGCTCTGCCAGCACATTGACGGCCTCCCTGGCCACGTCTTCCTGCGTGAAACAAATTGCCGAGGGACAACTGGCAGTCTCACCGAGAGCACAGCACAGGTGCAATTCACCCCAAAGTCCGGATTGGGAGAGAGCATTGCATCACCTGAGGCTTCCAAATTCAACTCCACATTGCAGCGGGAACTCAAAGGACCAATTCAGAAGCGCCCTGTGAGCCAAGTGTCGCAACAACACCAGAGCGAGCCCAACAAAGCGCAGAGTCATGGTAACGTTGACGATCAGGTGGTACGTCAAGCTCTCCTGCACCGGTGAGACTGCATGCTGAACCTCGTGACTGCACTGCAGGCGTTGCCTTGGACATCACTCGCTGCAGCAGTCGAACGATAATGGCAAGGCCAAGACCTCTCAGGTGACTCACAGGAACGAATGTGCTTCCTGCGGGCAGCGAACCTTCAAGAACCAGCATTGTCATTACTATCATGGAAACTGCCCGGCCTACAGCGAACTTGAACCAGTGCTCCTTCAGCAAAGCCGCGAGGAGTTCCTCCTGCGAGGCATCGTGTGCTTCCACAACAGCTCTTGTCAAGGACGCAGTGTGAAACGCAAATAGCATAAGAAGCAAGGACATATGCAGGGTACACTCTTGGAAGCTGGTGAGCCTGCGACAGCCATGCGAGCCACTGCGAGCTCTCCCGTCCGGCTGCAGATGTTGGGGTCGGGATCGGTGTGCCCGGTTTGCCGGCGGCAGCTGCAGCAGTTGCCTTCTTTGCCAACTCCTCGCATCTACGGGCATACCGATAGAAAACTCTTCGGGACTAGATTCTAGATGCGGTGCGGCATGCATGCTGATGGAGCGGGCGTGATGCAGCATCCAGCTTGCAACCGGCCGTCCTTGGCTTCACGCTTGGACCTCGGAGCGTATCCAGCAAGTGCTGCCTAGCTGTCCCGGCTTGGGACACATCCCGCGCCCCCCAATCAGCAGTCAAGGCGCAACAGTCGAGATCTCCGCGGCCTCTTGCCACCGATTGATTCCATGAACAGCATCATGGCAATGACGACGAACAGATCCAGGCCGAATACACTCAGCCACATAAACTTTTCACCTCGATGGTGCCAAATCTTAGGCCTTTCTTTTTGGGATCGGTGCCTAACCTTCGAGACCATCAACGGTCCCGAAAACACGAACGACATCCTTCCAGCAGTGTATCCCGACTTGAGTAGAAGCAAGTGTGCATGTTCAATAAGTTGCATGCCATTACCCGCTCTGCCATTAAGGTCTTCCCGCGGTCCCTCTTCACCCCAGCCCCAGCAATTCAAGACCTCCTCCGAATGCTTCCAGGCCACCCGCGTGGCAAAGTCGTCCCAACCAGGATTGCAGTACATCCGAGGCATGCACGGCCATGGCCAGCCAGGACTCTGAAGGCTCCTTGAAGCTCTCGGGTTGAACTGAGGAAGTCTCTGCCTCCAAAGGCGCCCTTTGAGCTGGCTCCTCCTTTATTGGGCTTTCTGTACTGACTCCTTCATCGGAGTCTTGCGCAGCCGACATCGGCGATACCGGCAAGACCATGTCCTGCATCACTTGCACGTCCAGAGACCTGAGATCTTTGCGACAGCGGCCCTGATGCGACGGGACGCATGGAGACGGATTGCTTTGTAACCAGCCGGACACCCAGGGCACAAGCTAGCGAGTTTAAGTCTAAGCGTAAGCCATAGACCCGAAGTGACATGAATTTGCCTGCAGGTTTAGTATTGCCGAACTCGTGAGTCTGAATGTTCGGATCACAAACTGCTTACGTTGCCTGCTGCCCGCGTCAGCTCACCCATCGAGCTCGGGTCATTATGCAAAAATGCCCGTACTTGCCCCCGAAGAAGGAAAGCAGCATTTTGCAGCAGGGAAGCCGTCGGAGAGTGGTGGCCAAACGCGTGAGCAGGCGAAAAGACAGGGCAAGCTGCAGCCTCAGGTCGCTGCTCCATTGACGTGTTTGTGTGGGCGCGCGCTTCTACACTCAAACAAATGCAGACACAGACATTTGTACCCACCTACCTACGTCACGTCCGTCCCTCCATGCCTGCATGCAATACACATTCGAACAAACTACTCCTGCGCTTGTCTGTTGAGTGCGTGTGCATGTAACACGGTCTTGGGTTTGCGGACCGAGCCGCGGGAGCTTCTCGGGCAACTTCGGTGATGGGCTCGACGATGTCTCAGAACCGAATTCCTCAGATCCGGTCCGGCTGGCACGGGCATTGCACAGTCCCACGCCCTGCTCATGAACCCTCCGGTACTTGTTTTGCCGCCTTTAGAAGAACTCTTAAACCGAGCACAAAACCCCAGACAAGGAGCCGAGTGGAGATCGCAGATGGCTCCCAAAGCGCTGATCACCGGGGCATCGGAGCGATGCGCAGCTTCCGGAGAGTCGCCAAGGATGTGAGAGATGGCCTCGACCTCCTCCTGAGCCCAAGAGCCAAGCTCCCAGAGGGCATTTTGGAATCTTTCTTCTTACAGATACTGAAGAAAACATGATGTAACATTAATACCTCATGTAACATTACCTCATGGATCTTATGGAGGCTCTCAAGAAGCTTATCCCGGGAAAGATGCTGGGGCCCAGACGCTGATCCGACCCAGCGAGGCTTTCACCTTCCGCCAGTCCTCCCCTGCGTGCAGAGCACAGACGCCGTGAGCTCTTTGGGGGGCGCCCCCCGGTAAGCCTTATAGTAATCCTTTTAACACTTATTATAGTACCCGTATAGTATAATCCTCATAGAAACCCTTAGAGTAGCCCTCAAAGTACCCCTACAGTAAGCCTTATCGTAAGTCCTTATAGCAACCCTTACAGCACCCCCTTCGAGTAAAACCCCGGGGCCTAAGAGCAGCTCCCCGAGGGCGTAGCCGGATCCCAGGACCTGGCTCCGAAGGCTTCAGATCGGTGGGTGGTGGGGGGTGGTGGGTGGTGGGGGGTGGTTGGGGCTGGTGGGGGGCCCCTCCTCGCGGCTTTTGTCTCCCGCATTTTGGTTTTTGCTTCCCTGGGCCTGGTCCAAAGCGCTCGGAGTCGCAGAGCTGGGACCCAAAAGCCTTGAAATTGGAAGGTGTCATCATCTAAAATAAACTGCTGCAACAGCTGGGCTACTCAATTCACGGCCAGGAAGCAAAGAAAGCAGTGCACAGATCAAGCGAGCCCATGTCAAGGACACCATCTGTGGGTTGCGGTTTTTTCGGGGCCCCTGAGCAAAACAATGACCAAGGGCTACCTTTCTTGAGCAGCAAAACCCAGGCAGGTTCTCATGCAATCCACAGCTTCACGTTCTCAGGCACGAAGCATTGCTGGCATCGGATGCCCGGATGATGCCTGGTTCTCTTCCAAGATCTCCACATCTTCATCCCGCAGTCGCATCAGTAGCACATCAGTGCCTGCTTATACTCACAATCAAGAACCCTTCGATGTGGAGCCGACCACCCCAACAGGACCAGCCTTTATGCTTCTCATACACAAACTCAACGGTGGACCATATCCTGCAGGTACTGCTCATGTTACTGAAGTTCCATCGGACGACTGGAACTGAAGCGACACCATCTCGTGTACAGGACGATTCGGTCTTATGGCTGCAACGTCCTGGTGAGCTTGGCGATAGTCGCTTCCATCTTTGCCCTCGGATGGCAGTGTGTAGGAAGGAACCACAAGAGGCACGATGAATCTGTGCTCGGATGCGCACTCTTGCTTGGCTTGCTCACCAATCTCCTCCACCTCCGCTCTAGCAGATCCAGGTCAACAGCTTTGAAACCACCCAACGCCAGCTTTTGGTCAGCAAACGCAAAACGCTCCCTGCAAGCCGCTCAGTGTCATCACTCTTCCATTTTTCGCCGCTGCCAGAAACCTGTGAAGTCATCAGAATCACAAGCTGTGCGATAACACCGCCACAGCCTCACTATCCGATCCTTGGACGCTCAGGGCTAATGCACGAGGAGATCCATGGTCCGACATGTTACGGTAAGATGTCTGTGCTAGTTCTTCCGAAGCTTGTAAGGAACAGACGGCACTGCCGCTGGCAATAAACCCGTCAAACGTATGCAGCGCATGGACCGCATCCTCGGGCCCTTTCAAGGTTTGGACCACTTCCCAATTTGGCAGCAGCACCTGGAAAAAAAACGGAGGCACCGCAGGGGCTCGACAAGATCCTCTCACTTAGCTTGAATCCCAAGCTCTGCCATGACGCAATGTACACCAGATGATCTGGCCCACCAAAGACCAGGTGGTCAGGGCCAAAATTCGCAACCTAGGCTGCAGCTTGCTGCTGACACGAACAGGCTAACAGCTGGGCCAGGCGGCGTGGGTCACCACGCCAAACTTGCGGGTCGCTGAAAGCAGCCGCGAAGTCCCTGGATCCCAGAGCTGGAGTGACCAGGGCTCCCGTATCCCTATGCCTTGGTCTTTGTCATGCAGCTTGCCTTCAAAGGAGCTGCCTTTTGCTGTCTCCGATAGAGGCAAGCTTCGGTCATAACCACTCGTGGCCAGGGATTGATCCACAGCCAAGCTGACAACGCTACCGTTGTTGGCGCGCCATGCAAGCTGCACCTGCGATTGCGTCCAATGCAACCAAGATTAAGATGGGCTTGCGCAGCTGCTTCGCGAACGAACCATGCCTCACCCACCGTGACATTCCAAATCCTCACCCACCCATCGTCAGAAGCTGCGATCAAAAGGTTCTGGCGCATGAAGGCCAAGGCCTGCTTGCACCCCACACTGACGACTCCACACTTTGCATCGCACAGCGACAGGAGAAGAGAGCCACACGACTACATCCACATTCATACCTATGGACCTATATGCCTCTATCTGCCTGTGCCGGTATGTATATATGTATGTCGTATGTATGGGTTAGTGCATGCATGCAAAGGACGATGGATGGATGGATGGATGGATG